CGAAAGATGGGCAGTTCTAAGAGAAAGCTCAGACACGCAGGCGGAGGGAAGCAAGTCGGACCCCGCAGGCCGGCCAGCCTTAGGTGGGGGGCGGACGGTCGGAGGGTGTGCAGGGGCTGGGGGCGGACGGTCGGAGGGTGTGCAGGGGCTGGGGGCGGACGGTCGGAGGGTGCAGGGGCTGGGTGCAGGTGATGCACCCCGCCCCCCGGCACCTCGCGACCACACACAGGAAGCCGCAGAGCGAACAGACAGGATGGGCTCCCGTTGGGGGACCGGCAGGTGGGTCACCAAGGAGTGAAATGGCTGGGCCTGTGGGCGTTCAGAGCCCAGACAGCACGCCGCCCCTTTAAGAACACGCACAAAGGGAAGGATGAACATCCAGCGCAAGACAAACACGGGCCTCTGGCCCAAACCTGTGCCCGAGACGTCCGCCCACGCCGTCCTTCCCCAAGTCTGCGGCCTTTCTGTGAAGACCGGGTGACGTGCATCCTTACCGCTGGACCTTTGCATGTGCCCCAGCTCCGGGCAGGCCCAATGGGGCAGCTTTGGAAAACATTCATGGGGCATCTGTACTGTTAACGTGCTCCCCAGGAAGTGCTCCCAACGGCACCCCAAGTTAGCAAGAATGGGTTAGATCAAAGTATGCCAAACGGGTCCCCACCGGTTGGGCCTCGGCTGGCCGTGTGGCCCTGGGCCAGCCATGTCACCTCTCTGACTTTCCACTTCTTGGTCTGCAAAGCGGGGCGAGGCTCAGATAAAGGAGTTAGCACACTTTACACATGCGGGCGAATGGTGTCCACGGAGTCACCGACCCCGTCACGGCGCGAGCAAAGGACAAAGGCTGCAGAGCTGGCTTTGGGGACGGAGGTGGCAAGGGCCCTCGGGGCTAGTCACCAAGGGTACTACTCACCAGCAGATAGATGCTGCTCGCGATGGCCAGGCAGGCTGTCCCCAGGATGGTGGCAAGCAGGAAGCCAGCAGGTACTGACAGCCTGGGGAGGGGGGCAGGGCGGTCAGGAGGGGTCTGCGGCCCTGGGACACCCAGGACCAGACAGACCGTAGCGTGCGGCCCCCAGGACCCCGGCTGGAGGACACGCCCAGTCCTGTGAAAGGTTGGGCTTCCATACTCGGGCCCTTGGAGCTGTCCTCTTTGCTTTTATTTGAACCTTAACAACTCTTGGGGTGCTGGCACTTGGCCCCCATCCACCACGCCAGGAGGAAGCTCACACGGCCGCCGAGGCGCATGGGCGTTGCGGCCTCCCTGGCAGGAACCAGCAGGCGTGTGCACAAGGCAGGGAGCAGGGCCGCCCAGGTGAGCCTCATCACATCACCCCGCCCCTCCCCGACTACTCCTGATTAAGCTCCTAGCGTTGCCGGGAGCCATGACGCAGCACGAGGGGACAGAGCAGGTCTGGAAGCGTATCTGGGCGGGGATGGGGCTGACTTGATCCAGGCGGTGGGGAGGGTTTATGCCAAGGCTGTCCTGGTCCTCAGGGGGCCGTGGGGGGGGGCAGGGGGGCTCACCCAAGGTGCAGGAAGGCCCGGATGTAGTAGTTCCTGGTGAGAGGCCCAAACACCTTCAGCACTTTGGTCATATACTTCTGTCCACTAGGCAGAGGGAGAGAGAAGACAGCCTGTATCCTACTCAGCAGCCCCCACCCATCCCCCCCGCAGAGCACCCCGGCTTCTTCCCTCCCAGAGACCGAGGGGCCATGGCGGCTGGGCGGGCTGTGGCCTGTTTGCCCAGGAGGCCGTTTGCAGCGTCAGAAGGAGTGTCCTCGGCCCCCAGGCAGAGGTGGGGGAACTCACCATCTCTCCATGGTGGATCCCTTTCTCCTCTTCCCCCGGGGGTACTCCAGCAGGCAGACGAACACGCCTGCGCCACTGAACGTGCTGTTAAGGAACAGCCGGGCTCAGCCTGGAGGCCAGGGTGAGCCCCCTTTGCTGACGAGAAAACAGAGGGGTGCAGCTGCGTCCTGGAGGTCAGACAGCTGGGAACCAGGTTCCAACAGGTCTGGCCACTCTCCTGCCCTCTGGCCTGTCACAGCTGGGCCACAGGGGTTCAGCCCACTGCCGGACAGATCTCAGGCCTGCCCAGGGGGACAGCTGATAGAAGGGGGGCACAGAGGGCACCCCCAGAATTCCCGAGGCCTCAGTGCCAGCCCA